TGGAAGGTCCACCTTGCTACAGTTACTGAATGTAACCCATCTGTTGCTGTGTTGTTAGTCATCCTCCACTCTTCCTGACCACTGACCCATTCTTTGCTGCATATTTTCAGGAGGTAGTCCACTCTCAACCTAGAAACAAACTGACAAGTAGAAAAACTCCAGTAACATCACTGTGTCTGATACATTCATATCAGTGCCACTAACTACCATCTCAGTGTCACTGCTGTGTTGGTCCACTGTTTGGTCAACAGCAGTCCTGCGACAAATTGTGCATGACATTGGAGAAGCTACCCCGTGCAACTGTACACCTATACAGTGATCTACAATGTTACTGAACCCTTCCCCCCCAAAAAACTTGCCAGTGAGTGGAAACACAATGAAAGTATTTCTAATACAGCAGACGGCGAGTGTATGCTGGCGATGTGCTGACAGTTCAAGTCACATGATCATCTGCTGTCCTCTAGTGGTTTAGCTGCAAAACAACAGGCAATCCAATGAGGTTTTTGGTGAGGCATCCAAACACACATGACCTTTCTCCTTATTTTCCTTTCATTTTATTCCTTCCTTAAGCAAGTGAACTATATTACATCTAATCACATCAGAAATATCAGAAATGGCCATTTTGACTGAAAATTAAATAAATGAAAGGAGGTCTCTGACTTTTGCACAGTATTGTATGTCTAGGGTACATTGTTCATCAGTCAGCTTACCCCAAATTTTTGTCTTTGATATGAGATTTTCCCTGAAACAAACATGCATCTTTTATTTCTTTCTTTATTAACTATTAATTATATTTTTTATTTATGCTTATTTTATCTTTTGCATTAAGTTACTATATTGTTGTAATTTTAATTGTTTATTGATGTAATTTCGTTTAATTTACTACTATGATTATTGTTATTACTTTTTGTTATGCATTTATTATGTTTTTACTAATTATCTTCTCAATCCCTGATCTCTGTATAGGCTCGGCTACATTGTAAATGAGGGTCTTTCTCAATGTACTCTGAGTTTAAATAAAGGTTGAGGCACAAACATAGGGAGGCCCACAAAAGCATGTCAAAAGCACTGATATCACCCTAGTAAGAGCACATCCCTCTAAACGTAGCTACTGAACCACAGCGGAGCTTGTGAAACAGTTATAGAATCAGTGAACGCATCTGAAGATGGTGTTCACCGATTATTATTAACATGCTGCTCGAGACGTGAACAGTAGTGGGACAAAACTATTTATTTTATTTATTTTTTTTCAAAGTCAGAATGTAACCAAATATGAGGTAAAGTGTTTGAGACATGAGTTCCCTATGCTTTAATTAGTGGTGTAGTCAAGACCACTACAGTCAAGACCGAGACATGGAGACAGAGTGCGCTTACAGAGTGCGCTTACATGCATTTAATAATCTGATAACTGCAGAAAATAATAAGATGATAGGAAAACTCCATGTCTATATGAGTCAGGCAGTAGTTGGATTTCTGCTTTGCAACCAGCCAATAAACTCACAGAAGATGACATGATGTAGACATAAAACTTGTCCCATGGCTTTTTTTTCTAATATCTAGTCACTTTAGTAAAAATATGAATATGCACAATCTAGAACATAAAGAATATTTGAATTCTTCATGTCTTTGATTTCAGTCTTGCTCCAAAAGTGCTTTGTTGCCATCTGCGGGTGCTGTGTTAAATGCTGCTTATTTCCAGGACAGTGCTCTGTTTTCGCTCATGTGCAGACTGAGAAAAAGGATATATGTGCACTGAAAATCCTGATTACTGAGCTAAAATCCAGTTCTCTTAATCAGATTTCTTAATCAGATTTCCAGGCCTTAATCCAGTCTATGAAATCAGAGTGTACTGTTTACATGACCACTTCAATGATCAGATAACTGTAGAAATCTGATAATGATGGGATTATTAAGTGCATGTTAGCACACTCACTGAGTCCAAGTTGAGACCAGGACCTTGTAGTAGTTGAGTCAAAGTCAAGACTGAAACCAGATTAAGATTTCTCTAGAATATAATAATAAAAAGAAGAATGGGGGAAATAAAAATTAAATTTATTTGTAGTTCCACGCAAAAACCTTTCATTTCCACTTTTTTGTGTAATTTGAAAACGCCAGGCACCCTTTGCATTGTGGGAAAATTTCATGATAAATGAATCAATGAAACTACTCCAAAATTACTTGGAAAAAATCTTATTACATTAACTTCAATTACAAGTCAAGAAAGATTTGCTTCTCCTGTAGTTACCATTTTGGAGATACAAAGTCATAGTCTAGCAGTGACAATATACATGATAAATATTCATTAATAAAATAATATTTTATATTTTGTAAAATCTAACATTAAATAAAATATGAAATATTATTAAAATATTATCAATTATTATTAATATCATATTATACTCTTAGACCAACTTTGTATTGTGACTTGCAAATGATGGTAAGGAAGTCAAATGAATATAAACCTTTTTTTTTATTTCTTTTATTATTGAGTAAAAAAATCATAATAATTAACATTCTGATTTGCCCTCAAGGTGCAAATTTTGGAAACAATGAGCATCAGCAAACAAATAATACCCAGTTAAGCCATCAGAGAAAAGATCAATTACATCTGCAATCGGCAGTAAACAGATTTCATGTAAACATGTAGAAAAAGGACTTTTTTTGTTCAGGTTGAAGGTGTTGATATTTAATAATGTCACCTTACCCCGAGACCGAGACAAGACTGACTCAAAATGATGTTGAGACTGAGACAAGACCGAGACCGTTGATTCACGGCCTCATGACCAGCCTTGAGTACTACAACACTAGCTTTAAGGACATGCTGAGTAATATTAAATCTGCAAATGACTTCCTCTCTTCTACACTGTAATAATAATAACAACAATAATTATAATAATGAGGTTTATTTATACAGCACAAGGTTGCTTTACAATACAGTAGAAGAGGCTTCAGAAGAAAATTACAAGAGGAAATAAAAGATAATATAATTCCACAGTTTAAGGGCTACAACACCAATTATCTGCCACCCAAATGTGGGCAGTCCAGTGTCAGGGCCTGAGAGTAGACTGCTACCAGAAGACCTAAGGGTACAAGGTGGGCTGTAAGGATGAAGGATATGCACAACATCACACACTGATCACACTAGGCTTGCTTTTCCAGTAGTCTCTTAGTAGTCTTAATGTTCACTGGGTATGTTATGGGGGTTGGATAAACAGAAACAGGTGCTAAATGAGATTACACTGATGCATATGTCAAATTCAAGAGAAATGTCAACTGGTATGAGTAACTGCATCTATTGTGCTCCTCTTTGGCCTTGCTTTCGACTAAGAGTCTGATGCAGTAAACACTGTTACTGTTGTATGCAAAAATATGGACACCCCAGTCAAAATTACATTTTGCTGATTTTCACAATGAAAAGAAGTGAACACCATCACTGAATGGAACAAACCTAAATATATTTCTGCAGTTGTAATGGACAATTATCGTTCATTTGTTGCACTGGAAAAAATAAATGATAAAATGTGGTGTGTGCATAACTTGGGCAGCTTTTTAATCACTCGACTACTGTTGGGTTTTTAAGGTCTCAGAGCTAATTTGACTCATTAGGCCAGGGGTAGGGATTAGGTCAGATTTCAGCACAGTTTGGTAGTTTTCCTAGTCAAACACACCTGATTCAACTCAGCAGCTTATTGCTGGATTTAGTACGTGTGTTAAAGGGGATCTCCACCCATTTTTCTAAAATTCTACATAATTAAATGAGTGAAATGTAATAGTCATTCAGAGTGATTTGATGTAAAATGCTTCACTTTAGATAACCTTGCAGAGTCAGCATTGCTCACAGTGGTTAGAGACATGCTGCCTGATGTGTAACATCTTAATTACTTTATGATTTTTTGTGATAAAATTTTGACTTAACATGTATTTTAATCCTTTTACTTTAATCTGTTCATAGTGGAAGGATAACTGTGGGGTACTGTAAGGTAAGATAATCCCAAAGAAAACATATTTTTGTCTGATTTATTACTATTTTACCATTGTCAACATGACATATAAAAACTAAGAAGACACGTGCAGGTTCATTGGCGGTTTGGATAGTTAGATAATAAAATGGTTATATTTGTGTTGTAGATATTGTGACACCTGGTTCCTATCACCACCACTGTGAAGTAATCAGAGTCTGTGCCTCTACAATGAAGCGTTTCACATCAAGTCATTCTGGATGACTTTGTTTACATCTCAAGGGCTCAATTATTCAGAAATCTTGAACATTTGGTGGAATTCCCCTTTAAAAGCAGAAAAATCACCAAACTGTGCTGGACTCAGTTCGCCACCCCTGCATTAGGTAATAATCCAAGTCAGGTGTATGGGCCCTTTAATCATTCATCAACTATAATAGCTTATATGCAAAGTATGCAGTGCAGCTGCGCTTTAAAAGAACTGTGCAACCTTCATATGAACCTCCTGTATCCAACAAAGCATCATTTCCAGGCAGGAAAATCTTCAAATTGCTGATTTACATACACCACAAAGAGTTACGATGCTACAAACAATGCAATGATTTAGCCTGCAAATAAGGATGTTTACGAGCTAAATGACTTTCCTTTACACGTTTCACATGCTAAACTTGGAAGACACGGCGATGCTACGGCTGTAATACGCGAAAACGGCCTGAATTCTCTGTCGACTGTCCGGCTTCCCAAGCACAAAAATAATTATTCTAACAGCCTTGGCTGGTTGCCTTTAAGTTTTCAGTGGTAGCTCGGATGGAAGAGGATCTCCTCCCCCTCTTTTTTCTGCTCTCGCCTGCACCTGAAAATCCGCAGCTGCCCGCAGCGACTCCTGCTCTTGAGCCTGTAGCCCAATGGCCAACCAATCAGAGCGGCGGAAGGGCACAGCACCTCGCTCTGATTGGCTCCGGCGCCTGTCATTCCCGAGCTGAGCCACGCCGCCCTTCAGAACAGGGCGCTGAGCGCTTCGACTCTCGGTTCAGAGAGAAAACAACCCGGGCGGCGAGCGAAACCGGTAAGTGTGCTCAACTCTGCTCTTTACACACCTGCCTATCGCATGCGGCGCTCGTGTTATGCAACATTTCCACAGCGCAGAACGGGAGTGTGGGATGGATGGATGCTGCTGTTTGTGGGGGGATCATACGAGAAGGCACAACTTAGTGCTGCACTGTGTTCTCGCAGCGGTTATATATGGTAATAATAATCATCTGATTGCTGATTTGCTGAAGGGCAGTTCTTCTGGGGCAAATAACCAACAGTGATGGGGCAAAGAAACAAACGTGTCATAACTTCTGAGCATGTGTAAACGCACGGAGAAGCACTGTGTGCTTTTTATTTTGTAAATATTTGTTTGTTGTATTACTGTTGATACATTATGTTGCTTTCTTGCTATTTAACAGTCAAAAGTATGGCCCTCCATCATAGTATCATAGTTATAGTATACTGGTGCTGTATACTCTTATCAGAATATAGTCAACTCATAATGATGTGGGCTGCAGTAATAGCACTAATACAGAGTGTTCTGCTTACACTAGTGTTCAAAAGTTTAGTCATCTTAATAACTGTTGATAAATAATAACACAGACAAAAGGATATTCTGGAGAAACACTATACATATAGTCAGCAGCACACCTAATAGTAATAATAATAATAATAATAATAATAATAGTAGTAGCCCAGTGTAGACTGAAATGTTATGAACTAGACAACAAAACGTAAACCAATGGTTTAAAAAAGTAAATGTAATCCAACAATAAACTTTAACTCTCTGCACAGGTGCCAAAAAGGGTTTTCTTTGTGTGATGCCATAGAAGAACCACTTTTGGTTCTCTGAAGAACCAACCATTGAAAGATTCTGTGACACTTTGTTTTGAGTGGTCTTTTTAGATGAAACAAACACTCATTGGACTCTCCGTAACATGTCAAAAACCTATGAGGGTTAGGATTAGGTTTTGGGTTGAGGTTAAGGTTAGGGTTAGGGTTATGGCCAGGGTTAGGTTTTGGCTAAGGTTGGGTAAGGCTAGACTTTGCATAATGGAACATATTAACAATACATCTACTTAATGTAAGGAATGTATCAACAGAACATCTACAAGATATTTACTTCAGTGTATTCAGATGCTTCACTACTGCTGCTTCACTGATATGTTGTTGATGCATTACTGATAATCTGTTAAGAGTTTATTAATCATCTACAAGGGACCACTCAAAATAAAGTGTTACCAAAGGTTCTTTAGGGAAGCAAAAGTGGTTTAAAGAGCCTTTACATAATGTAAAGCTTAAGAGTTCTTCTCAGAACCATTGCTGCAGACCAGATGTGTGAGTGTGAAGAACCCTTTTAAAGTTTTAAATAATCTCCACATAATGTCCCAAAGTAAAGGTTCTAAGAAGAACATTTAAATTAGTATAGAACCTTTTCATTATGTGAATTTAAGCTTTCTGATTTTCAGAAAATGGTTCTTTAGGAAAGGACCTTTGTGGCATCTTTATTTTTAAGAGTGTATTGATAGTCATTTCTTGACATAAAGTAAAGCTACCTGATTAGCAAGATTTGGTTACCGCTTTGGGAATGTGAGGCTTTCTGGATATTCATTTTATTATATGTTGACTCTCAATGTTATACAGCTTTCTCAGATTTATGTAATCACCTGCAGCTCCATTTATCATCTCTTAGATTTTAAAGCTTCTTACAAATCGCTTGAAACCTACAGAGCATTAGTGTAATATTATACATGTATCTGCAAAAATATATTTTACGTTATTCAAAACAGTGATTTTAAACTTTTCAACTGTGATTCCAAACTTTTAAAGGGTAGTGTGTGGAATAAAATTGTTCAAAAAGTCTGGATGACACTTTGGGGGAACTGACAACATTGACAGATCCTGTGATAGTTCACTTTATTTAGGTTTCTGCCAAAATATGTCACGTTTCCTTGTCAGTCTAATGTCTTCCAGTTTCTGACAGTGTTCCAGAAAATGCTCATTCATAACTCATTGGCTACAAGAAGCTTATTATTGCATTGTGTTCATCACTGTTTTGCATTTTTACACAGCAGTTATTCTAATTTGTATTCAGTTCTTTACTATTTCACTCAACATGAGAATTCACAGCAAATGTGTGCTACAGCCAGGCATTCAGTTCAAATTCATATGGTGAAGTTATTAAGAATGGTTAGCAGAAACTGGATTTCTTTGCAGACTAATGTATTCTTGATTAAACTGATTTTCAGCTGCACTGTAATTGACATTTTATAAACCATTCCTTCATTCACTTGCCCTTGTACTTAAACAGATTTATGATCATGTTGTTCCCCCTAATGGCCTCTTTCTCTTTAACAGAACTTCGATCGTCCAGGTGATGAACACCCTTCACTCTGTCGGTTCTTCCCAAGCAGTCTACCAGCAAAGGCAGGAGCACTGGGATGATCCATTTAACGTAAGTGCGTGATAAATTAAATGGCTCCCGTAATGGAGGGCACACACACAGTGCTCTTTCTGCACAAACCCATCCAGGAGTTTAGCCACATCAGCCTGTACTTCCCCACTGGGAGGGTCCGATGCTTTACGTATGGCAGCCGCGCCCCTCGTGACTGCCAGCCCCTGTACGCTAATCAGCATGACCAGGGGGATGAAGATCCCGCAAGGGCCAAACAAAGAGGCCAGTCTTACAAGCCAGCGGGCGATGCCTCCCAGTCTTGCAATTCAACAAAAGGAGTTTTAGCTGAGGTTCAGTGGCTGTCTGCGGAACACTTGCAGTTGCTGGTGGATCTCCTGTCTCTATGCGGTGACTGCGCAGCCAGGGTCAAAATGGGCAACCAGGATGGGAAGTTCCCAGGTCAGCCTGAAGCTTATGCAGGACATCTTTTGCATGATCTTAGCAGCAGCAACCTTCAACATGCCCTTTTGTTGTCCCCAGACCATAAAAGAGCAGCCTCCCGAGTTAGGAGGTTGAAAAAGTTGGCCGGTAAGAAGACAGACAGTGCTGAAGAGTTCTTGCAGAGTAAGATGAATAAGAAAGTACAGAGCATCACAGCTTCAGAGCTTCCACAAACTCATCTGGATGCAGTCTCAATGGTTATTCAGACAGCTGGAACCCCCTTGTTTAATGCAGGTTCAGGCTCCTATGCCAGTGTCGGCAGCGAGCCACTTCTCCCAATGGAAGGACCCTTCCAAACTGCTCAGGAAGGCTGGGACTTCATGGAGGATTCACGTCCATTCGACTCAGAAATGGACCTCTGTTCCGAGCTCACAGAATTTGAGGACCAGTTCTCTCTGAGTTATGGAGCTTCAACCTGTACTTTCATGGATAATGTGCAGGACCATATCCAAATGGCCAGTGGAAATAACATACGACCTAGCAGGAACAGCAGTTCTACAGGGAATGAGGATTTTGAAGAGAAGCCTGAAGGTAAGACTGCAGCTCAGCTCTATGATGATATCAACAGGAGGGACATGACTGAGAGCCAAAAGATGGACAATGCTGTACAGTGCAATTCCTGCCTAGAGACCAAAGAAGCTTCCTTTGGTGCTGTAGAAGTTATGCCATATACCAGCAAGGACAGCTCTGTTATGGGACACAACATTTGCCAACATTTGAACCATAAAGAGGTGAGGGCCTTCACTGAAAACTGTACTCAGAGAAAGGAGGTAGAGTCAAACGTGGGGGACAGATATTCTGAGGCAATGAGGATTCCACTCTCAGCCCATGCTCAAGCTCAGTCTGGAGTCTCTAACCTTAGGCCCTGGACCAAAAGTCCCACATCTCCTTCCCTTTCTGGCATTTTCAATGTGTCCTACCCACCAACCAACAGTCTCCAGAGTATGTCCCCTGTCCTTTCACCACTGTCCTCCAAGCTGTCCAGTCCTCAGCTGAATCATCGCATTGTATTGCTGCCTGAAGAGAATGGGGGTAAGGAAGAAGACAGAGATGAAGCAACTGGGTCATGGTCAGAATCTGGGAATCAGCCCAAAGTTACAACAGAAGTCATAGACAAAAATGGGAACCGTAGAACTATTACGAGGCTGGACCTGAACCTTAGCCGACAAGGAACCAGGAACTCTACATGGAGCACTGCTGGCACATCTGGTTCTACAACTACAGGTGAGTGTAAGGTAAGGTTTAATTATATTGTCTCCCAAAAGAAACATTTTAAAGAAAAGATGGATTATTCAGTTTAATTATTTCATTAAACTGCGTGTTGCATGAGTCAGATGGAAGTCAGTATGTTTATGTGGAGTTATGTGCTACTTCCTTGTACAAAGCGGTGGGAATGTGTTTTCTATGGTTTATACCATAAGGGTGTGGTGCTCTCATTACAATATAAACATATATTTAGGCCTGGGTGATTTTGGAATTGCGATATTTCTGTATTTCAATATTGTGATTGCGATGCAAATGCAATTATTCTCTATAAATTCATTTCCAAGACTTTTTTGGGCAAGATGACCAGAATATCCACTTTTTCTGACAAGAAGCTTGAGTGCTCAGTGCCATCAGACCACCAGTTAGTTGTGATGGTTGTGATGTCACACATGACATGGGTGTTTTGTTGCATCTGATTGGTCTAACTCAACTACAGGAAATTCACAAGCCCTGTTTTATTAGGTTAAATTTCCCCATTTAAAACCTAAGACAAGATTGTTGATAATGTATTCTATAATAATAAAAAATTGCAGCTCTTGCGATTTGACAGTTACACTTGTTCAAACTGTGATTTTGATATGAAAACAATTAATCTTTCAGCCTTACATATATATTTACTGTAAATGGGAAATAAAGCCTTTCTATTTCTGTCACCAATTTTGGTTAGCAAGGTTTATATCATCACTGTTCAGTAGTGTAACTAGAATCTTATTGAACCCAGTGCCAAAAAAATCAATGCCTCCATGCAAAGATTACTTTCAGTGACAAAAAAGACAATGTAATTTACTTGTGTACTTGCTGTTGTTATGTCTCAAACAAGTTGATTGTCACAAGGCACACCACCTACTAGCATCTAACATCAACTTAAATGTTTATGCTAGAGTATCTATTTAAGACTGTAGACTTAAAAATAATGAAAAAATAATGAATATATCATGTTGCAGTTTGCAGCGATCCATTTGAAAATAATTAGCATGAGATGCTTTATGAATAAGAGGGAGATAAATAGACATCATGACTGTCTGTGTAGTGTTGAGATATTGGTGAGATATTCTGGTAAGAAACTGGATCTTTGGGTCTACAATTGTCCAATGTGAGCCCATGTGCAATTGCCCCTCCTTTCCTGTGTGAAAATTTCATACCAAATGGACCAATAGCAATGCTTCAGAATGACCTGGAACAAAGTCTTTTACTTCAGCTTCCACTAAAAGAACTTTCCTTTTCCTGTAAAGTTTCTCTTATGGAGGATTTGTTCTGTCAGCAATGATTTAGGTACATCAGCTCTTTTTCTGGTTAGTGTTCCACTTCTTTGTGGTCATGTGACTGCTTGTTTAAAGCATAAACCCTGACACCGGACTTTAGGCCTCATTCCCCCTTGATCCTGATGACCCGGTACTGAATACTTTGTGTGTGAATGTGTACATGTGGGCGAATGAGAGTGTCTGGATTGTAGGCCTGACCCCTTGGATCAAAGTCACTTGATCGGCCTGGGGTTCAAATGCTTGTGCTGCTCCCATGAATGTAACGTTAACTCAAGCATTGCCAATTTGCTCCGCACCTTTGGAGCTACATCCTGTTGAGGGAGAAGCTGCCTTGATTTTACAGATCCAGACTGGCTACTCTGGGGCATTACTTAGAAAAGGGGATTAAGGCTTTGTGCTGCTCAAACAAAAAAAAAAGAACTTCCGAACTTCAGTGCCACAGCTTGTAAGCATCATCTCATGGTCATGGTGACAGCATCAATAAGAAAAAAGAAAAATACAAAATTTATGGTGTGCCCTTTTGGTTAAGCCGTTTGCACACATCACTAGCTTCAGCTCTGTGGATCTGTGATTTGCTGATCAATTATCAGACAATGTACCCCTCAGCTTCCTTTGCTTGGGGCAGAATGGATGCAGCCACCCCCCTCCATGCTGCACTGTGTAGTTTCCAACTCACCGGCTGATTTGATCATAGATTATTATGCACCACAGTGTCAGTTCTGGCTATTTTGGCTCCTTGTTTGAGATGCTGTGTGGTCTGACGGAGAACATTGTGGAAAGGGTCAGTCCTTTGCTTTTTGCTAAAGTCATCGGGTCATAATCACATTAGACTCTGAGAGTAATGAATGTGGTGTCAACAAAGCTTCCTTTGGATGCTTTGTCAAAGAAAAACTAGTTTAACAAAGCACATAGCATTTATCAATACAGTATGTAAGTATGTATAATGATTATGAGAAAATCTTGCTAACATCTTATGCAGAAGCACAACATGAAGCGCATCCTGGGTCATGCATGCAAATGCTTTTTGCACAGTTATTGATTTGTACAAAATGACTGAATGGGTTGGTACTACGGGTCACAGACCAAATTTCACTTACTTAAATTGCTGTCAAAACAGCCATTAAGTACAAGTTGTTAATTTTTTTAAAAGAGACATTGCTGATATATGATAATGTACTTAAATAAGGAAGGGGAAAGTCAAAGGAAAATAAGTGAAAAAAATTGGAGTTTCCAAAACTGAACTTCAAAGATTACTACAACATACGGAGAAAATGGGAGTCCTAACAACCATGCAAGACCTGGTAGACCATCAAAACCGTCCCCATCAGATAAACATGCAAATAAAAGTTTAATCTTTGAGATAGAAGAGAAAATCAAGATCCACTCTTACTTCAGATCTGAATAAAACCACAGGTGTTTCTGCCAATTCTTCTACTGTGAGAAGAAAACACTGAGTCTGAAAGGGTGTGCATCTGTCAAGAAACCATTACTGAGAAAAGAAAATAGACAAAACAGAATAAAATGTGCAAGTCAGACATTGGTGTAGGAACCAGGTGGGATGGGTGGGACATGTTCCACACAATATTGGAAATAGGTGCATGTATCCCGCCCAAAAATTATACTGCAGGGGAAAAAAAAATTTATGCTAATATTTCATGCTTCCCATTTCATGCTATGCTGTGTGTTGGGTTAAGGTTAGGGTCAGGTGGTGCTGGGCCTTCTCTTAGCCTTTGTTAAGGCCTGTGTTGAGGTGCTTGTTCAAAAATAAAGAATTTTTGACTGAAAAAAAAATGTTTTGTTTGAATATCCTCCAACCACCAGTTTTACCGACCTCAGCGTTCGCCTCACTGGAGCATCTGGTAGCTAATAAGGTTAGCTTTCACCAGCTTTAAACTTGAGGTCAGTGATGAGAGCACAACAAATAGCAACAATGGCTAATGAGGGTGCTAGGAGGGTTTAAGTTAGCTATGCTCAAGCTTTCAAAAAACATATGGTAATCTTAGCCGGCTGTCTCCCAAACTGCATCTCATTTCAGCATAATGCCACCAAAACAAGATAAATCAAATCATCACAGGACACGATGTTACTGAGGGTTTTTTTTTAACTTGCCTTAAGCCCTGTTTGAATGGGATTAGTTCTTCATGGTTAGGTGGGGAAATGCCAGTTTACCTCAGGACATCTGTAATGTTTAAAACATGTAATTTAGTCATTATTTCATTTACCCTAGCCATTTACCTTTCTGTCTTAAGTGCATGCAATGTGTCATTAGCTTAGAAAACAGCAGTCAACTTCACCGTATAAAATCGAACTAATTTTTCTGTCATTTTTAAATGTTCTATGTTGTACACATGAAACAGGACAATAATGTTACATATTGGCCAGATTTTAGCCACAGAGAACAATGAAGCTGACTGACATTTTGACATTCAACAATTGACATTCTAGTGCTAATAACTACCATACCATTTAAGGTGGAATGGGAAAATTTGAACAAACTGACTTCAGCTTTGTCAGAGAACACAAGTAAGCTCTTCTTCGAGTGTCTCCATACTGTTCAATGCCAGTTTTTCAGATCAATAAACAGAAATAATAAAATATGCTTAATTTCTCATAAGCCTCTTGAATCCCATTCAGAATTGTTTTCAAGCAGCTATTCAGCTCTGTGACAGATTTATAGTAGCAAATGTGTCCCCCCAATGTCAAACTCACTCCTATACCCTTGTTCTCAGAATAATGGACTGTACACCCCAGAGTCCAGAACTTAACATCACTGAATGTTTGGGATTACTCAGATTGGGAGAAACAGAAAACAACCAACTTCTAAGTGTGAACTTTGGAGGTGTGGAAAAATATCCCTGCAGATTTCTTTGAAAAACTGAAAGCAAGTCACCTAAACAGAAAAGAAGCTGTAATAAAGATAAATCATGGACAGACTAAATACTAAAAAAAATATATTATAGTTGTTGAGGCTTATGTGTGAAAAATAATGTTTTGCTTTTTTCCTGATGTTGAAATATGAATAACTTCCACTTGATGCATGTTTTGACTGGAAATTACATAAAAGAAGCATGGTCTCTGACTTTTGCACAATACTGTATCTTTCTGTGAAGTTTAATTTAACCAAAAGTCCTTTATAACAAAAGTGTTGTGTATTTTGATATCCATTGTTTCTCAATTGTAGCTCAATGAAACAAGCAGAAACATTTTGTTGAGTGTGCATATTCTGAACTATGAATTGATATCATATTTTTGCTTGCAGATAGTAGAGGAGATGTTTTATTATGATTTGAATTTGATGAAAACTGACTCTTATATAATATAATATATATATATTATATTATTATATATTATTATATATATATATTATATTAATATATATATTATATATATATATTATATAATAATAACTCTTAACTTCTCAACATCTCAAGGGTTAATGTGTGAGGACTGGTATTAGGCTGATGTGAAAGATACTTTGTCTGACAGACACAGGCATTCTGGGATTGTATGAGGGAGGGAAGGGGGTGGCAGGGAGGGGAGGGGTATAATCCGATTCTCAGTAATGATCTCTTCCTCTGCCAGTCACGCAGACCTGTACTCATAGTCATTCCTGCTGTCCTTCACGTTACCTTAAATTATCCCAGACACAAATTACCAAAGAATTTCACCAGACACAGGGCAGATGTCACTTGACAC